ACACACACACACACACACACCCTCTACCTGCACGCTCACACACTCGCCACACTACTTAAAATGCTCAGTTGGAGTTCAAATCTTAATCCATCACGTCTGCTTCTACCCAAGATGCATGTGCACACACACGTACTTGTAAAAATGATGTATGTGTGCTGCGCTGTGTGTGTGTGTGTGTGTGTGTGTGTGTGTGTGTGTGTGTGTGTGTGTGTGTGTGCGTGTGCAGCACTCACACTGGGAGCAATGCGCTGTAGCTGCCTGAGGGTGATGCGGTTATACATGGTGCTGATGTCCTTTCTTTGGTCATCATATTCCGACACAGTGATCTGGAGAGAGAGGAGATTTTACTCACCACTGCACACGCATGGACGCACATGCATGTGCATGTGCATGTGCACACATAGACATGCAATCAACTGACATTGGCCAGCCGGGTCTCCAGCTCTATAATCTCCTTGGAGTTCTCTGTAGGGTTGAGAGCTCCCAGCATGCTCAGCAAGCGCTCCATCAGAGCCTTGTACGCCGCCAGGATCTGGAAAGCACAGTGACATCAGCGTTAACAGACACGAGGTGCTGCGGCGGCATCATCAGTAACGGACGGTGACGGGGTGACATGTGGCAAAGTGGACAGGATAACAAAAGCACAGCGGGTGACAGAGGAAAACAGGTGGATTGATGAAGAAGAGCGAGAGAAGAGTAAACAGGACAGATGGGAAGAGGAGAGGAGCGAGGAGGGAAGGACTGAGGGAAGAGGGGGGAGAGGAGGGGAGGGTGGAAAGCAAAAAAATGAACGAAAAGGAGGTCAGGGAGGTAAAGGGAGAAATAGGGGGAGGTGGGAAGGAGAGAGGGAGGCAGAGAAGAGGAATAAAGTGCATGGATGAGGTCAAACAGAAAGTGAATGCAGGAAGGAAAGAAGGGAAACGTGAGAAAAGCCAAGAAAAAGTTGGCAAATAGGAGGACGAGAAGGGAAAAGACAGGAGGAGGGAATAAAAGAGGAAGTGAGGGTGTTGGGGGATGACAGAGGGAAGGAGGAGCGTTCACCTTGACGCTGTCCTCGTCCTGCCCCAGATACAGACTTCTCTCCGGCAGCGTGAGCCCCTCCTGATCAATCTGCACACACACAGTCAGTCATGTGACCACCGCCAAGCATTCAACAGATGTATGTTCAAAGGGGTGGTTAATATTTTAATACTCTGCAATATTGCTAACATTTACAAACCATTCAACACCATGCATGCTAAACATCTGAATTATTTAGTACATTTAATGAATAATTCACACACCTAAAGTCATTTGTCTTTTATTAAGACTTGGCCAGCTAATGTTAGCCGACGTTCATACTGACACTGTCGTGTGAAAACTACACTTGTCTAAATGCACTGATTTGTTTTTCCAGACCAATTAAATGATTGAGTTGTGTGTTGTTGGTTAATCCAAGCTGGCCATCAAGAACACCGTAGGAACACCGTGTCAACAATCGATTTAAACATGACTGGTTTTCTGATAACAGTGGTTGTTAGATCTGATTGTGTGGCTCAGTAACCTTGCAGTGTGGTCCTGTACATGTTTTGGGCTACACATGGGGGGAATGTGCAGACTCTCACAGACTTGTGGAGATGATGACGTTTAGAGGAAACTGTGTGCTTGTGCAGCAGAACAGTGGCCTTAGAGGAGCATTGATATGACTGCATGTTTTTACCAGCAAACGGTCCTGGATATGTTTGGGTTATTCTTGGTCTTGTGGGCATCATGGTAGATGTTGTAGACATGGCCACACAGTGACAGTCGGTTTGCTGTCACCTTACAGCGGTCTGGGCTGAAACCCGCTGGTCTGTCTGAGCAGAATTAGCATGTTGTTCTGCTGCCTGCATGACTTTTCTCCCCACAGACCAAACTCATTCATGTCAGGTTATTTGCTGATTCTACAGTGGCTGTAAGTGTGAGAGAGGATGTCTGTGTGTGAGTCCTGAGATGACCTGTCCAGGCTGTGTGTCCCATATCAGCTAAAGTAGCTCCAACCCTTGAAACCCTGGACAGGATAGAGTGGGTATACCAAATAAATGGATGGATTGTTATAATATATGTGAAAGTCAAAGTTGTAAATCACTAGGCTTTGCTTTGATTCAAGAGATGGCAGCTACACTACCACCTATACGACTCGGCTGCTGATTTTTCACACACAGGTATTGATGTCTGACGGCCAGCAGTTTCTCATTTAGCCTTGAGCTGCTAGCTTTAGGTGAAGCTGAGGACACAGGTCTTACTTCTAACTTTACACCCCCAGTTTTTCATTTCTAATCTTCAGAAAGCACTGATTTAAGTGACCTCACTTGCTGTCTCCCAAGTACTTGCTTAAATGTAATCACATGACCATGAGTAATCGAGTATGGACCTTCATGTCACATGGTAACGGTGTGTGAGAAGGAAGTAAAGCTTTCTCTCATGTACATAGTTGATAATGCTTTTTGAAAAGTGCCATTAGACTATCTTGCCATAACCACAATGTTTCTGAAGTTTAAAAAGTCAGTCCTGAGAGTTCCTTACAAACACACACATCATGCGTTTAGAAATCACCCTCAGTTCTCTGCTACGTTCTCACCCGGATGGCGTTCCTGGAGGAGTTTTTGTCGTCCACATTGACAGTCAGGGAGAAGAACACAGCAGTGCTGTACACGCCCTGCGTCCTGTAGAGCAGCTCGTTGAAGTCCGGCCTCTGTGGGGCGCCCTCGGTCTCCCACCCAGCAGCACCAGGAGGAGCACCCACCAGGTCCCACCCTCCACAGCTGTCCAACACCTCTGTCATGGGGCTCGAGCCCAGCTTGTCAATCTCTTTAATGTTGATGCAGGATCGATAGAATTCCTTGACCTTGCGCTCTGCCGAGTTGGGGCCATGCCTCCTAATTGGCTCCAGCAGGAGGCGCTGTAGTTTCTCCTCGTTGTGTTCTCCTATAGCTGTAATGATGCCGTAGCTGAGTTTGTCCTCGGGAATGCCGTGACGCCTCAACCAGCCACCGCAGGCGAACGAGTAGAAGTCCTGGCAGGGCTGGATGGTTGGGTCAATATTGGCCTGAACAAAGCGGGCCGCCCGCAGCAGGGAGCGCTTGCGTTGGCAGTCCTGTCGGCACTGCGGGTCCTGCTGGGCATCCAGGGAAATGTACTTGAGTGCCAGCATGCTTCCCAAGATGACGCACATACCTGCTGCGAAGACCAGCGCCGAGAGGAGGCAGATCTCCCTCCGGCTCCATCGGGGAAGGCCACCGCTGCTGCTGGTGCTGCTTAGATCTCTGTTTCGACCGTTTGACCAGGTGCCTCCCCGGCCTCGCCCCACATGACGGTCTAGGCTGCCTCCGAGGTGAAGGGTCATGCCGTTGCTGAGGATATCGCTGCTATAGCGACCGCCATATTTCACTTCCTGGAACTCATCATAGTGGGCAGTTAGTGAGTATGTCTTCTCCATGGCAGAGAAATGTTTCTAGGTAAGAAGCAGCAGAAGGGTTCAGGGAGAAAGGGATGAAAATGAGTTATTTCTGTTTTCTGAGTGCTGTCATGACTACTCCTACTGAGACAAAAGCGAGAATTCCCACTACAGGGCAAAACACTGAAGTGATGTCAAAATTCTGTTGGCCTTCTTTAGGCAAAGTCCCCTTTATTCTTTTCAAATCAAAAGCCAGCAGAGCAAGGGACTCCCATTGTGCATGAGGAATCTCTCGGGTCCTGCTCTCCCTCTCATCCTCTTTCTCTCTGCTCCCTTTCCATTTGTTCTCCTTTCCTCCCTTTTTCCAACCAGTTACAGGTCACCTGTCGATAAAAATAGAAACGAGATAGAGGAGGGCTGTAAGTTGAGAGATACGAAATTGAATCCATGATTACAGCAGTAAAGAATGACAAAATAGTGTCTGTTTTGTCACATTTTTCTCCACTTTGTCTCCTTGTGTTTGTCAGCTAAAGCTGTTGGACTGATTGGTGATAGTCATCCCTCAGGGAGATGATGTCCTCCGAGCGACTCGCAGCTTCAGACAGATCAATGGAGACGGGCAGCAAAGAGCTGAGCATCAGCTGGGCAAGGAGAGGTGTGACAATCACCATAACTTAGCCTGTGACAGCGCAAACTCATGTAAAACTTTTTATTATTACAGAGGGACACAGAGGATTTATGGCCTCTGTCTGTCCAGACTGAAGACACACACTTCTCAGGCTGACATGCTGAGTTCTACGCAGCTGTTTCTGCTCATTTTAAAGTAATGAAAATGAAAAAGGAACATTTTAAAAAGGCTTTTTGATAACTTAACTGCAAATTTGAACTATTTTTGTTTCTGTTCCTTGTTGTGTGTTTGACTCACGTGGCTGCTGGTCGACTGTTGGCCAGAATGAAAATGATTTAACAGAGGGTTCATTTTAGCATGACTGAGAGGAGACTGGCAGAAAGTCCTCTGTTGGCTCAGTGGTTCCCCGTTAGTGAGTGTGTCACCACGCATAGGTCCATGTGTAAACACACACACACACACACACACTTACAGCACAGAGGGCGTCAGCTGATCCTCTGTAGGGCTTTTAAAGGAATAACGAGCTACCACATGACGAGCAGCTGCCAAAAATGTAAATGATATGCGCATATATCCTTAAGTAATTTAATTTAAACTCAGCTTATCTTTTTGCGCACAGAATTACAAAACAGTGGAACCACAGCATCGACTGCATTTGTGTAACGGAGCACAAACACAAAATAATTCATAGCTGTTTGCATTCTGCTGCATTCTACATGTAGCCTGTAAGCAACACCAGGCCTGTAGACAGAGAGACGCGCTGGTGAATATTTCGTTGGATGCTCTCCCAGTGTGTGTGTGTGTGTGTGTGTGTGTGTGTGTGTGTGTGTGTTCAGTGGCTGGGTGCAGTGAACTTGCTGAAAGCTGTGAAGGCTATCTGTGAGAATTGATCCCTCTTATCTCCACTGAGAACAGCAAACTTCAGCTCTGATGTCTTTAACAAGCTTTCGCTCGCCTTATGAGAGTGCTGTATGCAGATAAGTACAGCAGGAAAGAGCCGGACAGACAGAAACAAACTAAGACAGCTTAAGTTTAGTATTTATAGGAGAACAGAGGAGTCGTGAGTTTCTCGTTGTGTGAGAGGTGGAAATGCAAATCTTTCACAAATGGCACGTGGCTGATGAGTGGGTTCCAGTGTTTTGTTGTAGTGGGAAAGGGAAAAGGGTGCATGGGTGGTGCAGAGATAAACATTCTTGTCTACCACTGCAGAGATGTGGAGCTACAGTCCCAGCAGTGATAACTCTGGCTTGGTTGGATGTTCCAGCAAATACAACTGACTTGACGGTGCTGCAGGGAAGCCAGACAGGGATTCAAATCCACCACGTGTCTGAATCTAAATCAGTATCAATGCAACAAGCATCACATCATAAGATGGGAAGTTCAGGCTGATTAAGTTTCCACACTGTCCACAAGCAATGATGGCATGAACCATGTGTGCATCAATGAATGCTGCAGGTTGCAGGTTTTCTCTGTATTTGATCGAGCAGTAGCCACAGATGGAAATAAGTCTCCACAGTAAGAGAAAAAAGGGGAAACTGGGGGAAAGTCAAGGATAGTGTGTCTCTGTGCGGTGTCATTATCAATCCAGCATATCATCCATCAGTCTTCTGCTTTGTTACACTCACCCACGTGATCAGAAACATGCTGGATCTATGAAACCGTATCCGGTCACTGTCAGCCTCGTGCACTTCATGCACGTAATTTATTATAATGTAAATAAAATGGAATCGTTGTGTGAAGTGTGCGGCGTGCGGTCTCTTAATGAAGTTTCTCTCCTTTTCTCTTTGGAATGCACAAACGCTTCAGCTCTGTCACAACTCTTTAGGCATTGTAATAAATTATGATACACACATGCGCACATACGCGATCACACACTGAGTGGACGTCCAGCGTATGGCTAATGGATTGGATCTTGCGGGTACCATCGCCGAGAAAGGCACGCGTGATAAATGGCTATTTACTGAACATGACAGGACCTAATATCTGAGAGTTATACTAATGCTGCTGCACATGCACACACCCTTTCTTCCTCTCTCCTGCATACTTCACATGCATGAACACTTAAAATGCATCAAAAGACGCCCCGTTGATGCATAGCGCCTTGTCAGTTGTCAAACACTTCCCATAGATCTTTCAGGAAAAATGCTGTCACTTGTTCACTTACTGCAGGGGTTCTCAAAGTGTAGTTCAGGGACCTCCAGGGGCCCTTCAGATGGTGCCGACAGGACAGACAGTCCTATTAAATCCAAATGAACTGCAAGATCTTCAACCAAACCCTATATTGTTTCCTTTAAGCTACAGTGCAGTCCCTTTCTCACCCTATCTATTGATCCTGTTGATGACAGTAGAAATCATATTTCTTTCTCCATAAAAAGTCCAGTAATGATGTGCTCTAGACCACCCAGAAATCTGTGAGAACTCATTGATCTGCTCTGAGACAGCCCATCTCAGGAACACAAAGGAAACGTCAAGCTCCCTGTTCTGTCACTCACTTGTCTCTGCCAGATTGTCTTCAGTGAGACAAATGGAACTGTTTCTCCATATCTGAGCAGCAGCATCGCGTCCTCCTTCTCTATGACGGCGGTTCACAGCAGCCATAAACTCATTTGATTTCCACTGTTGCCAGACAACATGTTGTACAAACTAGTTCTAAAGTATACCCTGAAGCCCTCAGCCCGTAGCTTTCAGTGAACATGCAGACTCGGCGGAACTGTCGGCGTTACAGCTTTCAACTTCGGCTGGTAAAAAAAAAAAAGGTTGTTTCAGAAAAAATGTCAGTCTTTACAAAAACAGTAGTAACTTCTATAACTGTGAATGTTTGATGGCCATCGCGGCCGGGCTGCCAGCGTTGAATTGATCAAGTTGCTCCTTAAGCAAACTGCACGCTTTGACCGCTGCCCGGGTCTTTCTCTGGCGTCTCTACCCACAAACAATACATCCTTAGAGGAGATCAATGGTCATCAATAAGCAGACGCCCATGACGGGTCAGGCTGACATCTCTTTAATGGAGACTGCTGATGGATCACAGTTCTCCTAAAATAAATGTAGGAGGTCCAGTTCTAAGATCAGCTGAGCACAAATGGCTCGGTTGCCTGTAACTGGGCTTTGATTTGGGACTGACAGTTATCAGATCTGCATTTTTCCATTTACTGGATTACCAGATAAATGTATTCATTTAAAAGTGCGTCTGATGCGTCCGTCTGTCTGGAGTCTCTACCAGGGTCCCACCCGCAGCACCATCCCATCGGTAGCATCATAAATTCTGTTTTAAAGAAACTTGGTGAAAACATGGAGAGTTTTGTGTTGTAGTTTGTGTTGTTCTAAATTTTGAAACCAAGAATTTTATTTCAACTGCAAATGCACATTGGTTCCAGAGATCAGATATGAATCTCCTTGATTACTTACAATATGTGTTGGTATTTACCCCCCAAAAAACACATCAGTCAGTCCCTACTTTAAATGTAAAGCTTGTAGCGGTGAGAGTTTATTAATTCAGTATTGTGGAAGCAATTTATTTCGCAAAATACTCTAATTCCTACAATTTGCATATCAAATGCTCATTACAAATGAAAGCGGTATCTATCAGCATGAGCTGTGATGAATTATCACCACAGACTTCCAGTGCTTTGGGAGTTAACACATCAACACATCTAAATTGTTCCCCATGGTCTGAGAAGGCAGACAGATTTGTTGCTGGAGAGATGGAAAGTCACCTGGGGTAAACATTGTCTAGCGACTGTGTAGCAAATTTGCAAAAACGATTACCAGAAGGCACAGTACAAAGACAATAAAAGATTAAAGCCTTTAATACGAAGTCTGCCAGTGTTATTTACTGTTCAGCGCCACACCCTCCATCCATCGCCTCACAGAAAACACACTGTTTACACAGGACCAGTCTGAGATCCTTCACTTGTTCTCCTCCAGAACTCATCACAGCAGCGAGCATCTACTGTCTGGATGTTACAGTCATTTCACACACAGCCCAGCTTCACATTACCATAAATTTACTCAGCAAACTTTTTTCTTCCTCCACTGCAGTTTGTGATGATATTTGGTGGTACCCAGAAGTAACAGCTTAGAGGCAAACCCTCTGCTTTTATCTCCTCTGAGACGAGTTACGTCACCTGAAAGCCTTCTATAAATGGGTTTATTATCCCCTAATCAAAGTGGTCACAGAGCCTGCCCCAAAAGCTTCACGGCACTCAGAGGGTTCAGCGTGGGAGTCAGCCCCCTCGAGCCTTATCACTGGTCGCCAGAGGCTGCAGTAGAGTGCTACGCTGCGTTTGTATGGGCTACACATTTGGACACACAGCTCAAGAGTCCTGTAGAGTAACACGAGACACTACTTAGGCTTGTACCCAAGAACAACCTCCTTTGTGGTGCTCTTAAAAACTATTTAGCTGTTGTGTGTATG